CTCTCTCTCTCTCTCTCTCTCTCTCTCTCTCTCTCTCTCTCTCTCTCCCCCCACCCCCTCCCTTTCATTCGCTTTCTGTCTTCTCTTTTCATGCAGCTGTCTCTTTGAACAGTTGAACTTTAGACACGTTTGTGAGTGGAGCAGTGTCTGTGGACTCTGGTGCAAGCTGGATTCTCTCAACAATGACTACAGTGATTTAGTGTTGTCCTTCGCTCCAAAAGAGACTGATGCTCTTGTGGATGTCTTTGAAGACAACCAGGAGGATAATCATCTGACTGAATTGTTGTTCTCGTGAATCTCTTCTTATCGCTTTTCACGATCACAAGTTTTGCCTTCAGTTTCAAAAGACTCATGGCTCAAAGTCCCTCCTTCGTCATATCCTGCCATTGTCATCCCGTGGGCGGACAGGCAAGAGTGAGGAGCTCTTGAGGGGAGCCCGAGGGACCGAGGCATCAAAAGTTGACCGGTCCGCTAAGATTTGCCCGAGGGCATCGCTGAGGACCATGTGTGCCGCCGTCCTGGAGGAGTACTGTGGTTCTGTGTTCTGGGTGAGTGTGACTGGCTTTCATGTCACCGTGCAATGGCTTTTTGTTTACCTACGATGGAGTAATTGTCATGTTCGGTTGTCATATATGGAAAAATAGATCTGAGTTGGATCACCATCGGGGAACGTGTTTGTTATGTCATTGGTGGAAATACAAACAAATATGATGATAACCATAGGACTTTGCTAAAGTCTTTCTATCAATTGCATACACAAATTGTTTTTACTCTACCTATGCTAATGTAAATAAACATTACACACCCATCTCCAGGCCACAGTATCACACAAAACATTTTTTGTCTGTTGTCAGTGTCGAGTCAGTTGCTCTGCTTTATTTTATTATATGGTGGTTCACTTGTACAATTCAGAATGTTAACATTTTACTTAAAACATAACATGCATGATCTATGATGGTGGCAGTTTGAGCCCATTTAAAATGAAATACGGTATTTAGTTTATATTATCTACTTTGTTTTTTAATCATTAGTATTATTGGGTGTTTTTCCTTTCGCTTACTTGAAGTTTTTGTTACAATATCAATAAAACAATACCCATATTTGTTCAAAAAAAATATTTTGTTGGTTCTGACTTCCCAAAATATTTTATAATGACTTAGCAATTACTGTACACTATGTGGCAGACAAAATGAATCGATTATATTTCTAACCATTTTTGTCATTTGAACATTCGGCAAGCCCCCTCGCTGCCCATCTTTAAAACCCGCCTCAAAACTCACTTGTATTCTTTGGCATTTGACTCAGCATGACTCAGATCTGATCTTAGTTTTACTGTTTGGTGCCTTCTACCATCTTTGTTACTGATTTATTGCTTTATTGTTGTATATATCGTATGTTAGTTGCTCCATGTACAGCACTTTGTATGCAGCGATGGCTGTTTGAAAGTGCTCTATAAATACGCCTTGAGTTGAATTGATTTTATCCGCGAAGCTTTGCATTAATTACAACAAATTATCGAATCAGGCAGTTCATAATCAAATTTTATGAAATAATGTGTGCACAAAAGAAAAAAAACTGCAGTGAATATTAGTTTTTTTTCATGCACCTTTGGGGTTTGATATTCATTTCAGTAAGCATATGAGAGGACAATAAATGCTGTTAGGTAAGCAATGACTCAGCATGTCTGATAACTTGTGGCAAGTTTGTAGTAGAACATGAAGAGCTTTAGTAGGATGATTAATCAACTCTTTAGTTATATTTGTTTTTTAGTGTAATTAAGTAAGTCAAAACAACTTTTTATCGATAAAATATACTTCATCAAAATTACTTCATCCCTGTAAAATTATGAAATTTATCTCAAGTGAAAAATATGTTTTTTTGCAAAAGCATACAACATAATTCTCTTAGGAGTCTGACTACTTTTCCGATGGTAGTTTTTATTATATATTGTTTTCATTTTCTTTTAACTTCTCACATGATTATGTTTTATGACATTGAAGCTTGCCTGTATGGTTATCCAAAATGCGTGCAGAACCAAATCTGGAAAAATATTGTTAGCATTTTGAGACAAAACACAGTATGATTTTATAATTGGGAACAATGCACAGTTACAGATTTCACAGAAAATGCTGTACAATTGCAAATTACAATTGCTGTCATGAAGATTCACAAAAATTGCACTCTTTGTTGACACAAATAACGATGTTTTGCCGACCTTTATTTATCCAGGGATGGCAGTTGAGAACAAATTGTCAATTTGCAATGCTGACCCAGCTGTGATATGATTGATGACTTAACTGGAACCATCTTATTTGTTTCATTTCTGTTTTTTTTCTTTAAAACAATACCTAATATCCAGAGTTTTGGCCTTCAGTTGAAGAAGTAGCTCATTTTTATTCATGTCATGCTACAGAACTCTTCATATGTGGAGAGAGAAGATCCAGATCTGCCAGTATGTTTGGAGCAGACAGTGCTGGTGTGGATCCCATTGGGCTTCCTGTGGCTGTGTGCCCCGTGGCACCTGCTGACTCTCTGCAGGAGAACAAAAGACACAAGATGCCTGTCCAGACTCTATACCTGCAAACAGGTCATATCACACTCATCTGTATTTTTCAAATAAAAACTTGCACCTCCAGTCCAGGTGTGATGAAGATGGATTGCAGCAAATGAAAATCTAAAAAAAAAATCACTATACATTAATTGCAGTTTATGTTTAAGATTTGTATGCGTAGCATTGTTGGTTTCATTCTGGTTTTGCATCATGCCTTTTATGTCCTCAGGTTGTCGCTTCCCTGCTGTTCCTGACTGCCATAGCAGGCCTGGCCATCACATTAGCGGAGGACTTTGGTCCGAGCCAAGACGTGCCTACAGCAGAAAAGAATCCTACTGTGTACTATACAAACCCCATCATTTATGCTGTGTCATGGGTATGTGTAGTAATTTAGCCCAACTCTGGCTTTTGTCTTGGAGAGATGATGTGTGCTTACATTCTGTCCTCCCTTTTTTTTTTTTTTTTTTTTTTTTTTTT